GGTTCAGGGGTCTCTTCTAATATATTTACTGATGATAAACGATTGATTGAAGAATGATTGAGGGAAGGGGACGAAACATAAAATAATGCCAAATTATTCGTATTGTGGTGTAAATTATCTAGTAAGGGAGAAGTGAACTCCATATGGTCGTAGCAAATTGATGGATTTGATTGTAAATATCGTTATAAGCATCGGTCCACACTCGAACCCACCATTCTGAATAAAAGTCATAAGAACTATTAGTAATATTATATTAATGTGTTACTCAGTTAAATGTAAAGCTAAAAAAAAAAATCAACCTTCCCAAACGGAAACAATCTTCGATACTACAAAAAGAAGAATAAATGGTAACCAATACCAAAATCCGCCGGATGCTACCAAATAGAGTTTGTAATATTTCCATCCAACCACACCGACAGCTCTTGTTTCCTCAGAAATCAGTCGTCCATCGCCTTCACGAATATTTTTATTGCTTTTCTGAGATTTCACATCCATAACATCCTCAAAGGGGGGTCCTTAATTCTTCACCTTCAAAAGTCACACCGTCCAATAATCCTTTGGCTAAAATTTCTTCTACGGACCCTTCAACTGATATTTGACCATCTTTCATAACTACAACTTTAGCAGCACCACGAAGACATAATCCTACGTGATGTGTAACAAGAATACGGGTACGGTCTTTCATTAAATCGCCCATCAAAAACTGTTCAAATATATGTTTAGCGGTGTGCGAATCAACAGCTGTATAAAATATAAGTCAGAATGTAAAAATTTATATTGTATATTAAATATTATAGATTTACCAGATAAGCAATCGTCTAAAATTATTATTTTAGCTTGGGAGTAAACGGCTCTGGCCAAAGCGACACCTTTAATAAAAGGACAATATGTAACATAAATAAATCAACCCAACATAGCTAATTAGAAGTCATAATTTTGATCTTAAAAATTTCAAATTAAACACATGATTTTAGTTAATTCTTACGTTGTTTTTGACCACCACTAAGCGTTATTCCCTTTTCACCAATTTCTGTTTTATCCCCAAATTCAAGAATCTCCAGATCTTTATTGAGGGCGCAAACACGTAAAACCTCTGAATAAATTTCGTGATCAAATGGAAGGCCAAATAGAATATTATCTCTAATAGAAGCATTCTGGAGCCACGCTAATAAATTTTTT